ACACTTTAGAAAATACATCATAAACATCTCGAAAACATTGGATGTGAAAGGAGACCAAATATGAAGGTACGTTAAAACATTTAGAAAAACACTGAATGCAACAACTCTGAGGAATACATCAGAAACATCCAGAAAAATATTGGATACGGAATGAGACCGAATCTGAAGATATGTCAGATACATCCAAAAAAGCATTGGATGAATGAGAGATAATTGTGAAGATACATCAGAGACATTCAGAAAAACATTGAATGTAACAAATCTAAAAAATACATCAGAAATATCCAGAAAAAAATTGGATGAACAAGAAACCATCTAAATATACATGAAAGACATTCAGAAATACATTGAATGTAACAAACTATTTAAAATACATCAGAAACATCCAAAAAAGCATTGAATGAACAAGAAACTAGTCCGAAGACACATCAGAGACATCCAGAAAAATAATGAATGTAATAAACTTTGGAAAATACATTAGAAATATCCAAAAAAAGATTGGATGAACAAGAAACCAATTTGAAGATACATCTGAGACATTTAGGAAATAATTGAATGTAACAAACTTTGAAAAATACATCAGAAACATCTAGAAAAACATTGGATGTACAAAAAACCAATCTGAAGATACATCTAAAACATTCAGGAAAATATTGAATGCAACAACTCTAGAAGATACATCCAAAAAAGCATTGGATAAATAAGAAACCAATCTGAAAATACATTAGAGACATCCAGAAAAACATTGAATGTAACAAACTCTAAAAATACACCAGAAACATATCGAAAAGTATTAGATGGAGAGGAAGTTTGAATCTGGGGAAATGTCGAAGACATCTTGAAAAGTATTGGATGGAAAAGAAACTCATTCTGAAAAGATATCAGACATTCATAAAAAGCATTAAATGCAAAAGAAGACCTAAATCCTATAAATACGTCAGAGACATCAAGAAAAACATTGAATAGAAAGGGAAATCAATTGGGATATTTTGAGTAGACATTCAGAAAAGCATCAGATGGAGAGGAAAACAAACCCGAGGACATCTAAAAAAGCATTGAATGAAATGGATGAAAGGGAAACAAACTCGAAGGCATCCAGAAAAGCATTGGATAATGTTGTTGTAACAAACTCTAATTATACAGGATAAGGATAATTGACAAAAATGGAATATTATAACGAAGAATTTCCAGAACCAACCAAGCTCTTAAGAAATGATTATGCTCACAAGAACGTCAAAATTTTAAAACCTGGTTAAAGGCTAGTATCACCCAAATTACTAGTTTATATTGTTATTTCCGGTTTTGAAAAAATGCCACAAAGAAAAATTATCGGGACGAGTCGCGTACTAGGTCGCTTTCTTTAAGATATTTCGTCGTACTGCCAATAGTTATGCGAAACAGTCGAGTTTCGACGACGTCTCTAGGATAAAACAATTTGTTCAGAATTACGATTATTACTTGCATTGTAATAAATCGTTTGAAGAATTACACATTCAGATAGTATAAAACCAGTCGTTGTATATGAAATTTTCCAGTCGTTGATCGCTTAGTAAGCCAGTCGAAAGCAAAAAAGAAAATTTTGTATATGAAGTAGAGTAGAGAGAGGAGAGAGAATTTGAATTGTAAATTCTGGAATACATACAAATGAAGTGGAAGATAGTAGAATCGACCCAGTCAAATGTAGCCGTTTTTTTCACTTGGTCAACAAGTCACACATACACATATGACTATCTATTGGAGGGCAAGCATAATCAGTCAAAAAATAGATTAAGACTTAATTTCTGTACAAGACCCATCGCCATTTCGTAATTAATTAATATTAATATTAATTAATTTCTTATTTTTAATTTCCACCGAATTAATTAACTAATGATAATTAATTTCCACTAATTCGAGTTTCAAAAATTAATTCATCTAGGCCGAACCAAACCGAGCCATACGGCGACACATGTGACACCCCAAATTAATTCAAGTGTTAAATAATTAGGAATTTAATTATTAAATTAATTAAAGACTTAATTAATAACATTTTGGATTAAATGGATGAATAAATTATGGAATTAAAAAGGAAGACCGGGGGTGTAAGGTTGAATTAGAGGTGTGTGAAGTAAAAAGCTCTACTAAAATAATTACTAATTTATTATTATTATTTGGCAAATAATAAAATGAATATAAAAGAAGGATAAAAAGGAAAAGAAAGAAAAAGAAGGTTATTTGGAAAGAAGCCATTGTACGTGAAATTGGAGAAGAGAAGAGAATAGAGGAAAAAGCCAAACGCCGTGAATTCGAAGGATCATCGCGAGGTAAGGGGTGATTTCGATTATTTAATATGCCTTATAGATTTTGGGATCAATAGGATTGATTAAGCATTTTAGAAATCTCAATTTAGGATTTATGAAATTCAAACCCCAATCCCATGAATTTTATGTTTTGATTCAATTTGATGTTATGAGGAAATTGTATGATGTTATGGTGTGTTGTATTCTCATTGGATTCATGCACTATAACTTGTTTTGACATTTCTGTGAGTTGGATTCGTATGGGTATGAATTGGATGAGATTTGGAATGAATAAGTGCTGTCAAAATAGCAGTTTTTGACTTTTCAGGTCGCAGGAACTGGTTCCCAGTGGGGAGGAACCGGGTTCCCAGTGTAAATTTGACTTTTTCAACGTAGGAACCGGTTCCTGTATAGGTAGGAAACGGGTTCCAGTATATTTTCCAGAATGGGTGTTTTCTGAACTTCGCAGGAACCGGTTCCTGTATATGTAGGAACCGGGTTCTGCTGTAACTTTTTGAAAAATACCAAACTTTTGAAAATTCATAACTTTCAAACCGTAAGTCCGTTTTAGACGTTATTTCTTAAATTAAATACTCTATTTTATAAAATAAGAAAAATATTATTTTATGAAAATTATTTTAAAAAGAGTCGAATTCCCGATTTTTGTAAACTTTGGTATTTTGAGAATGATGTAGAATTGTTTGTGAATTGTTCTGAATTGGTGAATGAGAACTGATACTTATGTGTTGTGCCTGCTATCCATTATGATTGAGATGTGATCATGTGATATATTGGTTTTGGCATTATTTGGAATTATGTTGTGATCATATTCCGTTGATTTGATGTTGACTTTCCGATTATGCGGTTTGTTATTATGTGCATATTTGGTGTATATGCAATGGTGTATCCATGATAATTGATTGTATCAGGTCCTTGTGGATGAAGTGCATGTTTATGCTGTTTGATGTGTGTATGATAAATAATGATATCATGTTTCTTTTGGTTTTGGTTCAGTTATGATAAATTGATGTATTTCATAGACTGATTTGATGTTGCATGCTGGTGATATGCATGCATATGCATTGTTTTGGTGAAGTTAATTCCCATTGTGTGGAATTTGACTTGTATTGCCGTTAACCGATACCCGAGAGATGATGGGTGGTTAGGCTGGATTCGTGTCCGAGTGTTATGGACGAATCGATGATTGCTTCGGCTGGATTCATGTCCGAGTGTGATGGACGAATCGATGGTTGCTGTATCCGAGAGTGATGGATCAGTGATGGGTGACTTGGTCACGTGATTGGTACCACATGCATTGTGTCTGCATTTGTGTTTGCATGGAATTGTAACATGTTAGGATGTCTTCCAGTGTTACAATTCTTTGGTTGATTATTGATCGGTGCATAATGACTTGTATGATTGGAACTGTGTGTTGAACCTGAATTTATGCTAAAATGGGTGAAATAATATGCTTGTGATATAATGTTGATTGAGAAGCTTATAATGCATGTTAATTATGAGAAATCTCACCCTTACTTTAATGATTTCAGATTAAAGTTAGCAGCTCAGGAGTTGGTGAGGATGGCTCTAGAGCTATATTATTTTAAGTCCGCGTGTCAGTGTCGTGCTCTGATAGGTTGTAACACTGGGGGAAACGTTTGAATGACGAGTTTTATTTTATACTCTATTGTTTAATTTATGTTGGGAATACTTATGAAGTGAAGTTATTCCGGTTTTGAGATATTTCCGATGTGTAGAACATGATGTTGATTCGAATATTTATAATAATAATTCCTTCAGTAAAGCATGGCAACTGTAAATTTGAGGTTTTATATTTATCTTGAATTGTGACATCCCTTATTTTCCATGTTACTCTGATTTGATTAATATATTCGCGGGTTATTTAGAAGGGGTGTTACAACACACGCATGTCTAGATGGCTTATGGGTGTGTCCTCAATCCTTTACAAAATTGAGGTGCCCCTTGGGACCCAACCCAATTGGCCAAGTTGAAATATATATACTGATTCTTACTTATGCTCATTTATTGCCCATTTAATGCCAATAAACCATTCCGACTCACGCTCCAAGTTAACATCATACCAAGAATTCCAACATCCCAGATGTAATCCCAATTAATTTTTTTTCACAACGATTTTGATGACAAATAATAGACTGACCATTTGCTTTAGCGTGAAGATTCGAGACATACCCTGATTTATAAATGGCTACATACTGATTGCATAAAAATCACGAATGTAAATAATCCTAACAGATCAAATTAATATAAATATGAAAGTGAAGAACTATTTCAGTTTGTTACAGATGTTGGTGGGGGAGAATAATGGTTCAAATAGTACAGAAAGAAATGTCTAACATATATCAGGAGAGGTCAGTGCAATTTGACAAAACAAAAGAAATAGACAATACTAATCTATCTATTACTTTGCAATTTGCAACATTGGTACAAAAAAGCATGTTTGAGCTATATGAGAATTGAGCCAAAGAACCATTTAAACAATGAAGAAATAATTAACAATGAGGTCATTATTAGCATAAACAGAATATAGAATTGCTAGTAAAATGCACTCAGCAATCAGGTACAGTATGAAGCTCCAAACACGAGTGGCAATAAGGTCAGCTAATCAAGCAAATAAAATATCATTTAGAAGTTTAAATGTATCAAAATTACAGCCAAAATTGCAACTACTTATCGTTCTACTTAACGTTTGCCGCCACCACCACCCAATTTTGGACCCTTGGGCAAACCTCCTTTTTGGACATTGCCTTTGCCTGACTTTTGGGCCTTTGATGCTACTTCTGCTTTCTTGGCTTTCTTCTCATCCTTTGTTTTCTTAATCCTCTCTTTGATTTCACTGCAGGTAGTGCTCAGATAATTAGAGATGTAATCCATCTTTATAAGAGGAAAAACAAGAGCTGATAAAAATGAAAATAAAACTCTGAACATTAAGCTGAAATAAGCAAGAAACACACCGCAGAGCAGCTTCCCTGGCTGCATCTCTAACTTCAGGCTTCTCAGCTCTTTTCTTCTGTATGACTTCCAGTGTAGCACCAACAATGGACCTAGAGTATGGCTTCTTGTTAGCACGGCGTCGCTTCTTTACAGCTTCTTGAGCAATATCCTGCACATAACATTCACGAAATCAAATCACAATCATGCAAATATTGGGCAATTATAATTGTAAAATCAGGTCAAATTCAACACTAGTAACTACAACATTTTCACATTGTAACTTTGGATTAAAATTGTTGGTTAACTTAATTTTTATACTGTGTTCTTTCAATCTATTTACAAACGTATCCGTTAAAGTGTTAAACAATAACCTTCTTGTGTTGCTTTCTGTACATGGCAGTCCATGTGAGCTTTGAAGGCTTCAAGCGGTTGTGAAAATACCTCTTACATTTCGAGTTCACGAAGAGGAACACCTGTACAATCAACAAATATCAGTTAAACTACAAAAGCAAACACAGCACAAATACTTAGACTAAGAAATACTTAGCCAAATTTCAAGCTTGAAGCATTTTTAGATCACCTGAGAATCACTTCGAATAAATCTGATGCCTCTTCCCGGGTAGATCTTTGCACCGCTGAATCGGCAGAGTTCAGTTCTGAAATGGCAATATCAATTACTATTCATATCAAACAAACACAAAAAAAGAAACACACTATGCCAACTACATTTACAGAATAACATTTCTGATAAAGATTCACGAATTTCACATTCACACAAACCCTAAGACGCTGATCGTAACAAAACAACGCTTAATCTCAAATCAATAACAAAATCATATAGCAACAAAAAATAAGCCAAAACAACACTTAATCTCAAATCAATAACAAAATCATATAGCAACAAAAAATAAGCCAAAACAAATCCACGCAAGAAAATAAAAACAAAATCTGTAACTGATTGCAGAAAATTGAGATGTCATGTAGAATTTTGAGCTCGCATATATGATCAACATAGGTCATGATCGAAGAAAATTGAGATTAATTGAAAGCTTACTTGAGAACCATTGTTGCTTCTTTTCTGGTGGCTGCTTCTGCGCTGGTGGTTTCTCTAAACCCTAATATCCAAAATCGCTATAATCTGCCTCTGGTTATCTATATACTCGAAATATTACGTAAATGTCCTTTCCTTTGTTGTAAAAGCACGAAAATGACACTGTTCTGTGGGTTTTCATATTGGGCCTAACTGAATATGTTGGGCCTAACTGAAATAGCTCATAGCCCAGTCTATAAGAATGTTTGTAAAATTTCAATTGAATGTCAATTATTTTACATTAAAAATATGAGATTAATTGTTATGCTTTCTCATTGTAAAATATTTTATATTTTTAGTGTATTACAATTATTCAAAAGTAATATTTTATACGTGATTTAAAAAAAAATTAAATATTTATAAAATTTTGACAGATATAATTTACTGACAATATAAAACTTCTTTGCATTGTAGGGGTATTTCAATTAAATTCTAAAAATATATATTCTATAAATTTTGTACTTAGATTTTACAAAAATGTTGAAAATTTTGATTCGTTAAATTGTATATTCATTTATTATTTCTCATATTTTTTATATTTATACAATATTTAAAAATAAATCATTGTCAATTTAAAGTAGAAAAATGTGAGAGAAGATAAAAAATGTTTGAATTTAAAACAGAGAACATACTTTATGAATAAGATAAAATAAATGGACTAAAATTATGAATAAATTTATATTATATCTTTAAAATTCTTTAAAGGTTTATATACAATAATTTGTCATGTTTCACATATAACGCAATGGATATGGATTTGGATCGGGCGACCTAAGATCGCACACGCTTGTTTCCTCTAATGGATCTCTCATAACATCTTTGGGTTAATCAGATCATCAGTTGCTTCTCTGTTGGATCCAACAAAAATTATCCCAATTCTTACATAATGTTGATTAATTGAAGAATAAGATGTTGTTACATTGAGATGTATAAGTATTTGATGGTTCTCCGTAGTTGATGAAAAAATGGTTGTTTCGACATGTAATAAAGATGGTACTTTTAAATAGTAACTTAGGCCAAAGGGGAAATATGCTAGATGTTAGGGAGTTTGATGTAAAGATGATTTTGTCACCATAAAAGTTGTATCTGAAAAATCTAAGTGAAATGAGAAAGTACTTCTAAACGAGTCACATAATTGTCTTGGATTAAGGAGGAGGCTTATGAAGACAATGAAAACTTAATTAAACAAAGTCACTTGACTTTTGTTAGTCCACCCACATTGTGGCATGGTACTATCGGCCTCATAACTAAGTACTTTAGATTATAATGGAATCATAGAAAGAGAAGTAATTGGCTTATATGATTGGTATGATGAAGTATTAAATAGACAAAAATGGACATGTTATAATTAAAGAGAAGTGACCATGTGATGTTGTATCGTTTGAGAGAAGCACACCTGAAATTTAATCATGAAGTGTAATACAATATATATTGAGAGAAGTATTACACAAGAACAATATCAATTAAGGAGAGCACATTTGTATTTGTGTTATGGGTCTAGTGATATATTACTAAGTAAAGTACTTCATAATAAATTATCATGGAAAAAAGAACATCTTTTTTGTAGATTAGAATGATACTAAGTAAAGTTGGGAAAATTAGAGTATAAGAGGATACCTAAATTAATTAAATTGTCAATCGGATAACTATAACGAATTGTATATATATATGTTATATCTTGATGATTTATACTCAAGTTAGTTTGATGTGAATTATGTTGATGTTTGATGTTAATAATTATATAGGAGTATGCCCAACATTAATTAAGTTGTCAATTGGATAACTATGACGAGTAGGTTGTATATATGTCACTTTGAAAATGCTTTGTGAAATGTGTTTGTGTTTGTTTGAAAGTATTTTTGAAAAGTGTCTTTGTTTAGGCGAACTTTGTAATGATTCTCGTCTCTAAAAGAATGTATACAAAGTGTTGACTTTTGAAAATATTTCATGAAAGTGTTGGTGTATTTGAAAGATGTTTTGTTTTGAAATATTTGTAAACAAGCAACTACGAGCGTTCTACCTACTCAAAAGAAAGTCTTTGTTCTTTTCCTCCTCCTTTAGATAGTGCTATCTTACTTATAAGTGTTTAGTTATTGGCATGTATTTTTGGTAAAACCAGGTGTGTGAATGTCATGACTGATGTCATAACATTCTGGTTTATTAGGTACTTTATGCAGAAAAATTATGGCATACAGTAGCTACTGTGTATGATTGTGTATCTGAGCATTTTGCAAAAGATCACATTTATTGCCTTCTACCAAAATCAGTAAACAGGAATTCTGATGTCATAACAAATGTTAAGACATCCTGTACTGATCTAATAGTAGTGCAGTTTGGTTAATTCTGAGATTTTTCAGGAAGTTGGCTCATTCCTTCCAGAACAGAATCTCCCGTTGTCTTTGGGTTAACCTAGCTCAACCCTAAACTGGTTGATAAAGTCTTGTGACCAAGTCTTATGGTTAAACCTAATTAACCCTAGCTTTTTGTGGAAACCCTAACTGAAGAAACAACTGCTATATATTCAACAGGATTGCTGTTTGGAAAATATCTCTTTGGACTGAAGATCAATTAGAAATTGTATAGTTTTAACTGCTGTAATCCAAGCAATTATCATTGTGATAAGTGACTTGGAATAGATTTTGTTTGTAAGGGTTTTTGTACCACTCAAAGCTTTGAAGCAAGAGTGTTTTGTGTCTCTTGACTAAAGCTTTGAAGCAAAGTCAAGTTAGGTTTATGTATCACTCAAAGCTGTGAAGCAAGAGTGTTTGTGTTACTTGATTAAAAAGCTGTGAAGCATAATCAAGTGTATGTTCTGAAGAGTGTCTTTATTAATTCATTAGTCAATTGTTTTAAGTATCACTGTTGTGATTGAGGGGGAGTGAGTAGGAACTCAGGTTTAAGTAGAACTTAGATTGAAGTTGCATTGGGTAGGTCTTAAGTGAAGGAGATAAACTGGTTGGTTTATTCCTGAATTAATATCTCTTATAGTGGATTTCCTCCCTGGCTTGGTATCCCCCAGAGTAGGTGTTGTTTCACACTGAACTGGGTAAACAATTGACTATGTTCTTTACTGTTTTTATTTACTGTCTTATAGAAAGTCAGATACGGTGTCATAACATTCACTGTGACATTGAGTATCTGCTGTCAGAATTTTCAATTGGCATCAGAGCAGGCACCCTGCCTGTATTACTGGGTGAGATCTAGGGATATCACTTTCTGGCACTATGGACAAAGAAGGAGTTTTTGGAAATAGACCACCCATTCTGGATGGAACAAATTATGACTACTGGAAACCTCGTATGATTGCCTTCTTAAAATCTCTAGACAAAAAGGCTTGGAGAGCTGCCGACAAAGGATGGAACCATCCCACCATAACTGAGAAAGATGGGACAATCAGTCTGAAGCCTGAGGAAGAATGGAGCAAAGAAGAAGATGAGTTAGCCCTGGGAAATTCCAAAGCTTTAAATGCCTTGTTCAATGGAATTGATAGAAACATTTTCAGACTAGTACATCAATGTGAACTGGCCAAGGAAGTGTGGGACACTCTCAAAACTACCCATGAAGGCACATCCAAAGTAAAAATGTCAAGGCTTCAGATGCTGACTACAAAGTTTGAGAACCTAAGGATGAAGGAAGATGAAACCATTCATGAGTTTCACATGAACATCTTGGAGATTGCCAACACCTCAAGAGCATTGGGTGAAAAGATGTCTGAAGAAAAACTGGTGAGAAAGATTCTCAGATCCCTGCCTAAAAGATTTACAATGAAGGTAACTGCTATAGAGGAAGCCCAGGACATCAGCAACTTAAAAGTGGATGAACTCATTGGGTCTCTTCAGACTTTTGAGATGGGGATCAGTGACAATGTTGACAAGAAAAACAAGAGCATAGCACTTGTATCCAACACTGAAGATGAAAACAAGGAGGATGAAGAAGAAAATATTTCAGAAGCTATTGCCATGCTTGGAAGACAATTCAACAAACTCATCAAGAGAATGGATCCAAAGTCAAGGTCAAATGTTGATAACATTCCCTCTGACATTAACAGATCTTATGACTCCAGCAGAAGACCAAGGTCTGAAGAGAAGGGAAATCAAGGCAGAGGAATTCAATGCCATGGTTGTGAAGGATATGGGCATATTCGAGCTGAATGCCCTACCTTTCTTAAGAAATAAAAGAAAGGAATGACTGTTACCTGGTCTGACTGTGATTCAGAAAGTAATTCTGAAGAAGAATCTGCCAAACTAGTTACTGCTCTAACTGGTGTTTGTACCTCTGAAAGTGACACCAGTGATGAGGAAGTGACATTTGAAGAACTGGCTGATACTTACAAGAAATTGTGTATCAAAAGTGCTGAAGTTTGTGTGCAAAATGAGAGACAAACAAGGCTCGTCATAAAGTTGGAGGCTGAAAAAAGGACAGACCTTGAAACTATAAGTCATCTAGAAGGGGAAGTTCAATTGCTGAACTCACAACTGAACCAGATGACCAAATCTGTCAAGATGCTGACAAATGGAACTGACAAATTGGAAGAAATCCTTCAGGTTGGACAAAATGTGGGAAACAAGTCTGGACTAGGATTTGTGGAAGCAAAGAAATCTGGTGCAGACAAGAAGATCAGGTCTGATAAACAAATGTCAAAGCAGATGTCACAACATAACACTCAACATCGGGAACAGAGAAATATGAAGAAAAAGTACCAAAGATGGAGATGTCACCATTGTGGGAGGTTTGGTCACATAAAGCCTTTCTGCTTCAGATTGTATGGATACCCAAATCAGAACCCAGGTGTCAAACCTAAGGCTAACAGGGTACCACATACTCCTCAATGGAAGAAAAAGGCTACTGCCCTGATAGCCCACACTTCCCTGAGAGTCTCTGCAAAGGAAGACTGGTACTTTGACAGTGGGTGTTCCAAGCACATGACTGGAATCAAGAACATTCTCAATCATGTTAAACCTCACACCACTAGTTA